TATTTCCCAAATGTTATCATTTTACTATATTTGCTTTATCATTTACTGTTTCTGTCTCCTTCCTTCTCTCTCCTACCCACATACATATACATATATATAAAATGTTTGTATGTATTTTTTATGAACTTGGGGAGTAATTTCTAGACAGAATGCTCTTTACCTTTAAACATAGCACATTCTCTTATTAAATAACCAGAATACAATTATCAAAATCAGGAAATTAACATTAATACAACAGTGTTAGCCAATTGTAGCCTTATTAAGATTCTGTTAATTGCTCTAGTAATGTCCTTTATAGGAAAATAAAATTGCAGATCAGGGATTTTATTCAATTGTCGTGTCTGTTTAAATCTTCTTTAATCTGGATTAATTCCTCAGTCTTTTTAAAAAATATTTTTTTATGGTCTTGAAAATTTTTATGAATACAGGCCAGTTATTTTAAAGAATGTCTCAATTTAGCTTTATTTGCTGTTTTCTCATGATTAGGTATGGGTTATGCATTTTTGTTTGGAATATTTCAGAAGTTATGTCTTTTAGCGGATATCATATAATGTCAGGGTGTCCCATTGGTGTTGTTTACTTTGATCGCCAGATTAAGGTAACATCAGCTAGTTTTCTCCACTGAGAAATTTTTTTCTCAACTCCACTGTAAAGTTACAGTTTTCTCTTGTGTAATTAATAAGTGTCTTGGATAAACACTTTGAGATTATGTAAATATCCTTACTCTTCAAATGATAATCCACTAGCTTTAGCATTCATTTATAATTTTTGCCTGAATCATTTGTTACTGAAATGGTTGCCAAATGGTGATTTTCTGAATTCATCATTTCATCTATTTTATTAGTTGGGAACAGTTTCCCTTTATTCTCCATTTATGTACGTATAGATGTATGTACATATTTACTTATTACCACAGTGGATTCATGGATGTGTATTTTTATTAACTAACATCTGCTGGTGAATGTTTTATTGTTGCAGGACCTGATGATTGTTAATAGTCATTTAGGACCTGATGACTAACAGTCATCAGGACCTGATGATTGTTAATAGTTCATTGTAAATGAACATACCAGGCATTTAAGGGCAGCTTTGGAGCTGACATTTATTAGTTCTAACTTCGTATTTGGGGAAAGCACTGAAATATAAGTTTATAAAGTAGGTGGAGTAGAGAAGACTTTCTTTTCTTTTTTTTTCTTTGTTCCAAAGCATAACCAATATGGTTTTACTTGATTTGTAATTTATGTATACTGTAAATATAAAAATATGTATCATTTGGCCCCTCATTTCAACTTCTAGGAATTTATCCTATAGATATACATTACAAGATTATTATAAAGGTTTATATGTTATTTTACAGACCCACCTTTTAAGATTATTTTATCTTTTTTTAAAAAAATTCAGGTTTATTGGGGTGACAATTGTTAGCAAAGTTACATAGATTTAAGGTGTACAATTCTGTAATACATCATCTATATATATCACATTGTTTGCTCACTACCCAGAATCAGTTCTCTTTCCATCACCATATATTTGATCCCCTTTACCCTCATCTACCTCCTCCCTATTTTATCTCTTTTGTTATAGAAAATTGGAGCTAACTTAAATATCTCTCATTAGGGATATTTGTTATTATAATACATCCATGCAAGAATATATTCCTCAGCCATAAAAAAGAATGAACAAGCTGTTTAAGTATTGATAAGAAAGCATCTTCAAGATACAATAAATGCAAAAAATGCATATGTATTTGCTTGTATGTACATAGAATGGTTATGTTTGGAAAGAATCACAAGAAACTGGTCATATTGGTTGCCTTTAGGGAGTGAAACTGGTTGGGGATGGGGATGGTTGAGACGGGTGTGGGATGAAGACTTCACTGTAAATCCTTTTATAGCTTTTGACTTTGAATTAATTAAAATTTAAAAATTCACACACTGAAGATAAAAAATTACTGAAACATTTCATCTAAATAAGAATGGAATCAAACTGAGAATTTTCTTATGTAATTCTTGTGTAGGTATAATGTTTTCATTGTCTTGATAGATGACAATAGTAGAAAAATTGGTATGAAGTTGGCAACTTTATTTATATACCATGGTATATATACTGTATAGAGTCTTGAAAAAAACTGAATATATGCTTTGTTTTCTTTTGGCAGCATGCATATGCACTAGAACTTCTATACGATCAGTTGCATGAAGGAGCTAAAGCCCTTGATGTGGGATCTGGAAGTGGAATCCTTACTGCATGTTTTGCACGGATGGTAAGACCTTTATTTTTTGTTTTGACCTCAACAGCAGCATGGTATATGATTTGGCTGTATATTTTTTTCATTAGTAGTTTTTGAAGGGTTTTTTTTTAAAATTCTATTAAGATAGCAATTAGAATATATTTCACTTAGGATTTGTTGTTATTGTCGGAAGTGACAGAACATTCAGTCCAAACTTGCAGGGATAAATGTTTATAGAATGGAAACATCTGAAAGTGTATCTGGCTTCTTGTGTTGCTGGATTTAGAAGGTCAGATATTGTTAATGACAACGGGTTTCTCTTTGGTTCTTGGTTTGGCTTTGCTTTTCTCCGCATGTTGGCTGTTATGATCACAAGATGGCAGCTAGTAGCTCCCAAACTACATTCTTTCAAGTTCTCATCTGGTAGAAAATAATAGAGAGAGCCTGATTTCCAAACAGGCCTACACGTTTATCAAGAATGAGGGTACAAGTTCTTTTACATAAGGAAAGTGCTCTTAGGAAAATGCCTTATTTATTATACTTAAACTTGTATCACTAGAGCAAAAAACATAGAAAAAACATGTCATGACTTTTCCAACAACCCAATAGTAAATGACTACCAGTGTATAAGTCTGGAGGCCCACTCAGGCACCTCGAGGAAAGGTTTATCTGTGTTCATGTAATCAAATCAAGTTGGTTTTGAAAAATCTTGTCCTTTGAGGCCAAATTGGAAGGTTCTGGTCTAGTAAAATTGGGATTTCTGGATCCATCTTGGACTAGAATCCATTTAATTTACTATAAATGTATAATCAGCAAAACACTTGCATGTAAGTTTTAGGGAGGTGGGAGTTTCGTCTGATTTTTTTCATTGATGTATCTTAAGCATCTAGAACAGTGCCTGGTGCATAATAAGGGCATAGACATTTCTTGTCGGTTGTTTTACTTGTCTTGTAGAAGTTAAGCCCTTACTACTGGGATGTCAGGGTTTTTTTTAAAGCTTAGAAATAACATTTAATTAGTGACATGTTTTCTATGCCTCATATTTATGGTTTCAGAGGAAAATTTATTTTTAAAAAATCTTTAGATTTCTGAGTTATCTTTTAAAAAATGATGTTAATTTAAGTTAATGTCTTTCACATATTTACCATGTGCTAGTCAGTGTTCTAGGTGCTTTTCACATATTCTCTTATTTAATCCTCACCTCATTTCTCATCTAGTAAAGAGATATGGTATGTACCCTTTTCCTCCTCATTTTATAGCTGAGGAACCTGATTCATAGACTAATTTGCCACGGTTCTACAATTGTAAGGAAGTGATATGAAACTTAGATGTGAACCCAGATGAGTCTATATGTTAAACTTATTTTACAATTATATTTGTGGCCTTTTTATATTTTTTATGTATTTTATACTTTACACATATGGCAATAGAATCAGGTGTACAAATCCCTATACATTTTTTAATGTAACATTTTAATATTTAAAGCCACACTTCTAGGTGAAATTTAAATTAAAAAAATAATTGCACTGACTGTGCAATCCATTTAATGCTGTCAGTTAAGTCCTACTTCAGGGTCTTGGATTTAAAAACTAGAAATCAAAGAATGATAGCATTTTTCTTAGTATTACAAGTTTTTATAATTTATTCTAGCTTCTTAATTACTGAAATACATTCATTTGAGGGTTATAGTTGAGAAAGCAGTATTTGGCAAATAATACATAGTAAACTGAGTAACAATGTAATTGTAGGCTTAAGTTGTGTATTTGTCTCCATTTCTCATTGCAGAATATGACTTTAGATAAACAAGCACTTTAATAATGCTTTAGAAAGACAAATTTAGACCAGTGAGCTATTGCATTCTTCCATTTTCAGGTTGGAGCTAGTGGGAGAGTCATAGGAATTGACCACATTAAAGAGCTAGTAGACGACTCAATAAATAATGTCAGAAAGGACGATCCAACACTTTTGTCTTCAGGGAGAGTGCAACTGGTTGGTGAGTATCTGAAAACTTAAAAAATGCCCTCTTTGTAGAATTTTTATTTTCAGAAGATCCCCCTGCAAGCTGAATGATACTTAGAGCTAATTACTGCATTAGCATTCACTTTTAAGTATGTGGTGAGAAAAACAGTTATTTGAAAATGTTACGCTAGTTCCACCTTGACCATGGGTGACATGACTGTTAACTATTTCAGAAAATGCTTATGTTGAGTTCTTTCTTCATTGCTTTTTAAGGATACCAAAGTAACAAGAGTTCATTATAAAAAATTTAAACACTGCAAAGATGTATAAGATAAAAAAAAAAGCCCCTCCTTTTCCCACTTAAGTTTTCTAGACATATAAATATATGTATGAATAAATTACACACAGTTTTTTTTAATTGACTCATACTATACATATTGTCCTGTAGTTTGCTTTTTTCCTACTCAGTATACAATGGACATATTTCCATGTGAATGTATTTTGTGTTGTGAAAAATAATGTAAAAAATATACGTGAAGCTTAAATACCTCTTTATCACCACACTGATCAAGAAATGGAACATTATTAGTACCTTCGAAGTCCTCTGCTTGCTTTTTTCTCATCATAACTCTCCTTTCTTCCTAGTGGTAACCAGTATCATTACTTCTATGTGTTTACTACCTAATTGCACTTCCAAAAACGATGTTTAATTTAATTTGAACATTAGATAAATGGAATCATGCAGTATATAATCTCTGATGAATGACTTCATTCAATATTATGTTTGAAAGATTCATCCATCTTTTTGCATATAGTTCATTTTCATTGCTGTGTAGCATTCCATTGTAAGAACACCACCAGAATTTGTTTACTAATTCTTCTGTAGATGAGTATTTTGGGCTGTTTCTAATTTGAGGATGTCACAATGCTTCTTATGAACATGTGATCATAAATCCAGATTCATATATATACTCATTACACAAGCACTCATTTCTGTAGGAGTGTTATTATAGGTTCAGAGGGTGACCGTAGACACTGCAAAGCATTTTTAATGTGATTGAACCAATTTGCATTCCCATCAGCAATGTATCAGGGTTTCCTATTGGTCCACATCTCTACCAACACTTGGTATTGCTAGATTTTTCTTTTTGTCCACTTAGTGAGTGTATAGCAGTATCTCTTTGTGATTTAATTTTGTATTTTCCTATTAACCAGTGAGGTTGAACACTTTTTCATATATTTAGCCATTTGAATTTCCTCTTTTGTGAAATGGCTTCTCAGATATTGAGTTGTGTATATTTTTCTTTGATGTGTAGGACTTCTAGAGACTATTCCTTTGTCTATTTATTCTATTTATGCATATTATAAATCTTTTCTTGCACTTTGTGGCATGCCTTTTCATTCTCATATTCGTTCTTTTTTGTTAAATAGAAATTCTTATTTATTATTATTATTTTTTAATTGGGGATCATTGTGTTTTTTCAGGACCCATCAGCTCCAAATCAAGTAGTTGTTCCAATCTAGTTGTGGAGGGCACATCTCAGTGATCCATGTGGGGATCGAACTGGCAACCTTGGTGTTATGAGCACTGCGCTCTAACCAACTGAGCTAACCAGCCTCCCCTAGAAATTCTTATTTTTAATATAGCCAGACTTACCAATTTTTTCCAGTGCTTTCTGTGCCCTGCTTAAGGCTACTTTGAAGTCATGAAAATAATCTCTATATTATTTCTCAGAATATTTATCGCTTTAGCTTCTTTATTTTTAGGTCTTTGATCTTGCTGGTATTGATTTTTGTATATGTATGAGGTGTAGGGGTCTAAGTATGTATTTTTTCCATATGAATATTCAGTTGTCCTACCATCATTTATTTAAAAACTATATCATATCCCTGCTTTAAACCTACAATTCTTCACACTAGGTAGTTCTATTGGAACAGGTTTTTAAAGCATAATTTTTTTTTTCTTTCAGTGGGGGATGGAAGAATGGGATATGCCGAAGAAGCCCCTTATGATGCTATTCATGTAGGAGCTGCAGCCCCTGTTGTGCCCCAGGCAGTGAGTTATTTTTTTTCTGTTTGTGTGCTTTATTCAGCTAAAACTCAAAGATTTATAGAGAAATGACTTCTAGATGATGTTGAAAATATAATTAGGCTTATGTGTCATGCATTTTAGTTACAGTTAAGTAGGTAATTTTTTTTCATATGCAAGAAGTTGTATGAATGACATCAAGATTACCAAACCCTGGGGCTGGCCGAGTGGCTCAGTTGGTTAAGAGCTTTCTCAAGAATGTGAGCTCTGAGCAACAGCAGTTCGATTCCTGGCCCGAGCTGAGCTGCCGCTGAGCTGCAAACAAGTGGCAGGATGGCTCAGCTAAAAAAAAAAAAAGATTACCACACTCCAACTCATGGCTGTCTTATTTGAAGGAGTATTTGATCCAGCAAAGAACTTTTTTTCTTTTGTTTCCCTTTCCCAATGAGATATATCAGAAAAAATATTACTAAGAGCAATGTCAGAGAGTTTGCTGTCCATGTTTCCTTCTAGAAGTTTTATGGTTTCGGGCCTTACATTTAAGTCTTTAATCTATTTTGAGTTTATTCTTGTATATGGTATATGAAAGTGGACTAGTTTAATTTTTGCATGTATCTGTCCAATTTTCCTAATATCATTTATTGAAAGAGACTGTCTTTACCCCGTTGTATATTCTTGCCACCTTTATCATAGATTAATTAACCATATAGGTGTGGGTTTATTTCTGGGCTTGCTATTCTGTTCCATTGGTCTATGTGTCTGTTTTTATGCCAATACCATGCTATTTTGATTACTATAGCCTTATAGTATAGTTTGATAACAGGTAGCTTGATACCTCCAACTTCGTTCTCTTTTTCAAGATGGCTGTGGCTGTTTGGGGTCTTTTGTGGTTCCAAATAAATTTTAGGATTATTTATTGTAGTTCTGTGAAAAATATCAGTGGTATTTTGATAGGGATATCATTGAATCTGTAGGTTGTTTTGGCCATATAGGACAAACCCACAGCTAACATCATACTCAATGGTGAAAAGCTAAAAGCATTTTCCTTAAGATCAGGAACAAAACAAAGATGTCCACTTATATACCACTTTTATTCAGTATAGTATTGGAAGTTCTAGCCACAGCAGTCAGACAAGAAAAATAAATAAAAGGCATCCAAATTGGAAAGGAAGAAATAAAACTGTCATAATTTGCAGATGACATGATACTATATATAGAGAACACTAAAGATTTCAACAAAAAAATATTAGAACTGATAAATGAATTTAGTAAAGTAGCAGGATACAAAATTAATATTCAGGAATTGTTTGCATTTTTATACACCATAATGAACTATCAGAAAGAGAAATGAAGAAAACCCATTTACAATTGCATCAAAAAAATAAAATACCTAGGAATAAATTTAGCTCAATATGATTTTAAACATTGTAGTAACACTTGGAAGTATTATAGGGGTCTTTATACATCTGATTAAATTTAAAGATAGACATGCTGAAGGGGCTTCCCAGTTTTAAGATAACAGTAAAGGTGTTTATGCCTCCTCTTGGATGTCAACCCAAAACAATTAGAAAAACAAGAAACAGAAATAAAAACTATATTCAATTATCAAAGAGATTATACCTATGAAGATAGAAAGCAAATGGAGTAGTAACTGACCCAGGAGGGTAGAGGAAGTGGGAAACCAACGAGACTGTAGAGGCGAGTATCAATGCAGAAGCAGTTTGCTCTGCAGACCTCTGAAAAGGATTAGGAACTGGAGGCATCAGAACCTGGGATAGTAGAGATAAAGCCTGGGTCTGAAAAGGGGACTGCTGCTTGAAATTCTTTATGAGGAACAATTTAGCCCTAAATCCTAAGTAAGAAAATTCCCAAGAACTGAGGACATGATTCTATAGTTTGAAAAGATCTATTGAGTGTCCAGTACAATGAATTTTTAAAAAAGAACCACAATGTCACCATGAAATTTCAGAATACAAAGTATAGAGGGAAGATTCTAAATGTTTCCAGAAAAACAAAAAGGATAATCTGTTAAGGATTGGTAATCAGAGAGGCATCAGACTGCAGAATAGCACATTAGAATCAACAAGTCAGGGGAACAGACCATCACAATTCTGAACTGAAAATGATTTCCAACCTTGGATTCTGTACCCACACATATCGCCAAATATGTAGAATAAAGATACTGGGTTGTTGGAAAAGTCATGATGCATTTTTGCAACAAAAAACAGAAAAAATGCCTCATGACTTTTCCAACAACCCAATAGTTTTAGACTTGCAAATCTCAACCTCTCTCTTTTAAAATATTTTACACTGTTTCACAGACTACTTCTGGAGGAATTGCTTTAATAGTATCAGCAAAAAATGAGGAAAAAGAGAGACAATAGGAAAAACCAAAACTAGGAAGCCATGGGCTCTGGGAAGGTCGGACATCTTGTGCAGGAGCAAGATGATGAGAGTTCCCAGTATTATTGCAGAGAAGTCCCAGGATGAAAGGTACTCAGCAGCCTGGAGATAACCAGTCCACATTTGGAGCAGCAGGAAGAAGGCACTAGAAGAGAGTTTACCAAAAACAAACAAACAAAAAAACTGATTAAATAGGTTTGTGTAAAAATTTCATTGAGAAAATATTAGTGAGTACAAAGATTTAGGAACAGTTACTAAGAAAATTAAGTGAATGAAAAAGAAAAAGCTTCAATTTTGAAATGTAGGGAAACTATAAGAAAGGAAACAATCATTGGATACCTCTTGGCTCAGCTGCAAATTGTATTTATCAGCATGGTACCATTAATCCTAAATTGAACTATAAAACCAAAGTTCTCTTATCTTTGTTTGAGTGATGCCCCTAAATTCTACAATGATAGAATAAGGATTCCTTGCTGAATATCTACAGTTCCCCCTTATCCTTTCCAAACCACAAACATTTGAAATAGGCATACGGGCATTGAAATTTTCAGCTTTGCCTTTGGTCTTCCCAAGAGGATAGTTCTGCATTACTCGTTTGTGTTTCAGCTCAAACATTTGAGCACTGCAGTTGTACCAGGTACTCTGTTAGATGCTTGGGGACAGAGATGAGTAAGACACGATCTCGTGTCCAAGAACTTGTAGTTTAGTAGGAGAGGTGGATAAGTAAATGAGTAAGTGGGTAAGTGAGTGATAAGTTTAGCAATCAAAGTATGTATGTATTAAATAAGATACATTTTTACGTTCCGCCCATGGACACTGGAAGCTGTTTGTAGAGATATAAAATGACTATTAATATAGAATCTATAACTTGGTGTGTATGTGTTTTGTTTTTTTTTGTTTGTTTGTTCTGTTTGTTTAGCTAATAGACCAATTAAAGCCTGGCGGAAGGTTGATATTGCCGGTCGGCCCTGCAGGTGGGAATCAGATGCTGGAGCAGTACGACAAGCTGCAGGACGGCAGTGTCAGAACGAAGCCGCTGATGGGAGTGATATACGTGCCTTTAACAGACAAGGAAAAGCAGTGGTCCAGGTGGAAGTGATTTCCCTTCTGCTCTTTCTTCTTCCACACATGCAAGGTGAAAGGGTGTGGATTTTAAGGCATTAGACTACAAGAGCTGCTTTTTTGGTTGTCACCTCTATGCTACTCCATTTTAACATCAGAAATTCACTACATTAAAAGTGTAGACAGTTTTGCATGGTCTGCCCTTCTTTTCGTTTAACTTGTATCTTTGGGGAAGGGAGGGTGAGACTTGGTTGGCACAAAGGTGTTTTTTCTTTTCTTTTTTTTTTTTAGAGGCTTTCAGCCATAGTTCAATATTCTCTCTAAGGAGATTTTATTATCAGCTGCTCTGTTTCTATATTTACAAATCATTTTTAGAGCTGCTGTGGTCATGGAAACAAAAGCTTTGGCTTGAAGAGAAGGGGCCATCATTTCCTGCCCCGTCCACTCTCTGTTGTCCCATTGTTATAAAGAGAAAGAAGGGAAAAGATATCCCTGTCCCAATTTTCAAAGGTATCAGAATCCCAGAGAGGACATTCTTCCTCTCAGCTTGATTTCCCTCTTTCAATCAAGTTCATAGATGTCTGACAGTCTGTGCCTGTTTTACACTGAGCTGGTATTTCAGAGCCACAAATAAACTTCTTGCCATTCTATCGAACAGGCCAGCCAATGTTTAACCTACTTGATCTAAATTCCTGGGGAGCGGAGGGGATTCTGTAAGGTCAATGGGAGTGCCCAGGTCTCACAAACCCACCCAAAGGTTCAACAGCATGCAGCATACTCCTCAGCCCAGCATGGCTCGTGAGAACGCCCACTTGTGTTGTGCATCTCGGCATCATCAGAATCTTTGTTTGAAGCCAAGATCTCTCTTCTTCCTCTCCTCCTCCTTTCCCAACCCCCCGTCCTGTGGCAAGGAGTGCGATCAGCAACTAAAAGTGACCTTAGCTAAGACCACTTGAAATTAAATGCCAAAATAAAAAAGACTTTACAGTTTCCTTGTTTTAGAATCTATTTTATTGATAGAAGTGCTTATTTTAAGATAATTATTTTCTTAATAAGTAAC